GAGTCTTCGAAGTTGAAACCCTAAACCCTAAACCCTAAATCCTGAACCCTAAATCCTAAATCCTAAACCCTAAACCCTAAATCCTAAACCCTAAATCCTAAACCCTAAATCCTACACCCTGAATCCTAAATCCTAGACCCTGAATCCTAAATCCTAAACACTAAATCCTAAACCCTAAACCCTACACCATGCATCGTTAAGTCCGACCTGAACCCTAAGTAAGCTTTGCACCCTCAGCCCTGGCTAATATGGGTTGTTTTTTCAAAGGAGGGTCCCTTTCTACTGGGTCCTTAGGGTTCATGGGTTTAGGGGTTTAGGGGTTTAGGGTTTAGGGGTTTAGGGCTTTGGGTTTCTAGGTCCTTGTTGGCTACAATTTCACATTTTTGTTATAAGCAAAAAGGATTAAAACATGATCAGTTTGAATATAGCTCCAACAGGGAACCAGTTTAGGTCCCCAATATAGTACGGCACCCTTATAAAGAGGACCCTACTTAGAGAACTACCCATATACTAGACCGAAAGCCCTAAACCCTCAAAACAACCTCAACCCTAAACCCTAAACCCTAAACCCTAAACCCTAAACCCTAAACTAAACCTTAAACCCTAAACCGTTAAACCCTAAACCGTTAAACCCAAAGCATCTCGGAGCCGAGTGGATGAGCCTTCCATCCTAGGTAGCAGAAGGGAGACCCCTTAAAGAGGACCGTTTAGGGTATAGGGTTTAGGGTATAGGGTTTAGGTTTAGGTTTAGGTATAGGGTTTAGGTTTAGGTTTAGGCTTAGGGGTTTAGGGTTAATAGGGCTTATAGGGTTCGCATAGGCTCTTTGATGCCCTAGGTGGCATTAGGGAGACCCCTTAAAGGGGCCCCTTCTGAACCCTACTTATGGCTCTCTTAAACTCCTAAACCCTAAACCCTAAACCCTAAACCCTAAACCCTAAAACCCTTATGGCTCTCTTAAAAGGTAACCTTATTGAGAGGGTCTATGTCCCCCAAGGGTCCCCCTAATCCTGGCTCCTATTTCAGCGCTGCAGAGTTTCACCAGGAGCAGAGCGAAACAGTTTGGCATTCTGGGTTTTAGGAACCAGGGTCTGTAGGGTTTAAAGTTTAGGGTTTAGGGTTTAGAGCGTAGGGTTTAGGGTTTACTTGGAGGTTCATGGGTAGTCATAGGTGGGATTAGAAGTCCCGTAATATTTGTTATAGCTATTGCTACCCTACTTATACCCCCGCTTATAACTAGCCATGAACCTCCAAGTAGGGGTTGAAGGTTTATGGCTTCGGGCTTGGGCTTCGAAGTCGGACCCCGATACCCCAAGGCCCTGAACCGGGGCCTCAGACTCCGGACCTTCTAGTTCGCAGCTGAATGTTGTGGGATACGGCTGATGATATAAATCCTGCACTACTCATAAGAAGGAATCTACCATAATTCCCATAGTTTCGGGTCCTTAAGGTAATGATCAACAGTAGTTGTGTTGATCGTGATGGATTTGGTGATCGTGGCAGCCAAAGACAGATCATGTAAACAAGTGGTTGCTGCATACCGACATTGACCTTCGGCCAAGAGCCATGCAAGTAACTGACCATCTTCGAAGCACCATCATGTTGATGATGATTATCATCATCGCCACTTTTGACCTGACATACTCTAAACCCTGAACCCTAAACCCTAAACCCTGTTAGTCCAAAGCCGATCAGCACCAGCTCCACTTCTCGGAACCCTCTGAATGAAATTGTTGGGCTTGCACCTGAAGGTCCAAGTTCAGGGTGTTCCTTTGGGATTTACTGTAGGGACGCACATAATTATCATACTATTTTTTTGGGGGGGAGTCCCTGAGTATATTATAGCCCAAAACCTTATTCTAATTATAAAGGCCCTTTCATTAGGGCTTCTAGGCTTTATAGGGCGAACGGAGGCCATGCTAGGGTCAGGGTCTAGTTTAGGGATGTTTAGGGCGGTTGGGTCTACACTAAGGGTCCTAACACTTTCGGGCACNNAGATTCCGGACCCTCCTAAAGAGATACCTGGACCCTTAGGGTACCAGTGGGTAAAGACCAGGGAAGCACCAGTCAAGCAATCTTCGAGATAGATTATAGGGGTATCGTTCTAGGTCCTTATCGGAATTTTCAATCCCCAGTCACACAGGTCAACGTAGGAAACCACCCTCTACACAAAGGACTACTGATGAGATGCAGCAGCTCCCCAGATCTACCCAGGACCTACCCCTGGGGCCTCACTACTCCTAGTCTGAAAGCTGTCGCTTGCACCAATTGCAACAGGAATGCTTCGATTGGGACTGGCCAGATGCTGTGCAGAATGTTACGGGTTCAGGAGGGCCTTCGCCACAAAGACTTCAGATTCAGGTTTAGGGTTAGGGTTTAGGGTTTAGGGTGTAGGGGCTGAGCTCTTTAACGTTAGTTTGCCCCAGGAAATATGCTAGAATGCTTGACGCAAAATTGCTTCGCATCTCCTTAAAGGCCCTTTGGTGGTCTGCTACCGGGCCCCTGTTCAGGGGTGTAGACTACATGTATATAATGTTTCGTAGCAGCAGCAGGCAGATGTACTCGCACATCCACATACACACAGGCTTGCGCCCGTAGAATGCTCGTGTGCTTAAAACCATGTTCGCATGCGTTTCCCGAAATCCTAAGCGCGAAACCCGATAAGTGAGCCATGCATGTTTCCGACAGTTCCCCAAAAGGGACCACGACAGAAAACTACGTAATGCATACTCGGGAACTACGGCACACATTCTGATAAGGTTGTCAGTCCAGGAGTCAACATGTTGCATAGCATCAGCAGGTCGACATGCAGCACATTCTCGATTATGCTTGGTATGCATTTGGCAGTTTCTTGTCCTGAGGCCCTATATACACTTGAACCATTTAGAAGCCGATATACCCAGGGTATAGGAGCCCAAGGTGTAGGTTTAGGTCTCTGGGCTTCTAGGGCCGTGGCTTGCCAGGGAAGTGCTAAGCTCATTCCCTCGTCCATGAAGGTTTTGCACAAGTGCTTGGTGTAAAGCCCGTAAAGGGATGTGGTATGTGTATAGTATGTTCAATAGCTTCGGCAGCATATCGTTAGCAAACATGTGCATGCCTGGAGTTTGAGCTCGAAGGAGGTGTCTTCTTTGTCGGAGGACTTGCATCAAGCCAGAAGCCTAAACACTAAACCCTAATAAACCCTCAAGCATAAACACTACTTCCCCCAAACCCGCCCCTGAACCCTAAACCCTAATCCCACGTCTCATCTTGGTGTTTCAAGGCTGTGTGGTAGTCAGAAGGACGCTGGAAGGCTGCAAAAGGCAGCATGAAACCCTAAACCCCTAGACCTTAATGCTGAAAACCCTAAACCCTAAAGTTCCGTAACAACCCTAAATCCTCGAAGACGAATTCTAATACTAATACTTAACCCCTAAACCCTAAACCCCTATAGGCCCGAAACGTAGATCTCGATTCAAGCCCACCCTAAGGCTCATGGACCCCTATAGTGAAAGCCCAAACCCCCTCAGCCCCCAAAGCCCGAACCTTCCCCTAGTAAGCCCATAACAGCAAGTAAGAGCCTTAGGGTAGACCCTAAACCTAAAACCCTAAGCCTTGAACCCTAAACCCTAAACCCTAAACCCCTAAACCCTAAACCCCCTAGTATCCAAGAAAAGCCCATAGCAGCAATAAGAGCCATGGGGGTAGAGTTTAAGTCGGAGGAGGGGTTTCCGCTTGCCCTACCTTCTTGCTGCAATGCTAAGCATAGGGTTGAGGGGGTTTTAGGGGTTTAGGGGTTCGGGGTCTAGGGGTTTAGGGGTTTAGGGGTTTAGGGGTTTAGGGGTTTAGGGGTTTAGGGCTTAGGGTAGGGTGTAGAGGTTAGGGGCGTTCATTCATATTGCCAGTCCCTTACTTTCTCCACCTCCCATGCAGCTTTGCCACGCAAGTGTCGAGCAAAAGCCAAAGTCCTGGCTCTCAGCCCAACCTCCTAGTCCGCCAATACAACTACAGGTGGAGAGTTTAGGGTTTAGGGTTTAGGGGTTTAGGGTATTGGGGTTTACTTAGTTCCCCAATACACAACTTTAAACTTTTTTTAGTTCTTATAGTTTAGTAGTAATCTGAAAGTTTAAACTTTTATTTCCCTGGCTTATTGGGGAAGTAAGACCTACACCCCAAGCCCGGATCCCTGAACCCCAGTCCCTAAACTTCCTATCTCCTACGGCTGATGATATAAATCCTGCATTACCCATCATAATGCATAGACCACAGTTCCCAGAGTTTAGGGTCCCTAAGGTAGTGCAGGATTTAGATCATCAACAGTATCTCCATACTCTAAGCTTCTAAACTCCAACGGCACAGCTCAGGAAGAGGACACAGAGATTTGGACGGCCCGCATCAGCGGAAGCGTGCAGGATGCTGCTTTCGTGCTTCGGATTTGAGCTTTGTGGGCTTTGGGATTTTGGGTGTGCGGGGTGTTTGATGGGTTTGAGATTTGTGGTCTACGGTTTTGTGAAAGGTGATGTTAGGTTATGGGGTATACCCAGACCCCCCAACAATGCCTGATTCCTAAAGACCACCTATTACCTTGTAGCTGATTACACGTTTGGGGATAACATCATCTCCTACAAAATTGAAAGTGTGCAGTCTTTTGGGCTTATGAACTCAACAACTAAGATCATAACGACCATAAGGACTCGATTAACCCCAACTACCCCTCTTCAACACCATCGTTAAGGAACCCCCCATTAAAGACCATAAGGCAAGAAAG